AACTCGGCCACAGGCGTCGTCGCATTTTTCCACAGGGCTGTTCGGACCCCCCCGCCACGCCGCTGCTTCGGCGGCCGTTCAGGAGCGTTTTCTCGAACGCCTGCAAGCGCGAAGGCCTCACCAATCTGCCGTGGTTCTCCCTATGTTGGCAGCGCGACCTTCTGGACTTCGCTCTGGAGACGGCCCCCCCCGGCACATGTGCGACAACGTTTCCCTCGGGTCTTTTTTGCGCAGGGTGGAGTGACAAACTGGGGCCAGACACGCAGCGGCCCCTCTACCCGGGACACACCACGAAGGCGGATTTCCGGCAGAAGAGCGGGAAGGCGCCCACGCCCGAGGTGAACTTGCTGACCCTTGCGGCCCGCTGCAAAAAATTCTTCCAGAAGGGCTTCCACATGGCGACGCCTTTTCCTGGCGGCTACTCCGGCGAAGAGAGCCCGGCTCCTGGCTACGGGGACCTGAGCGCCGCGCACGTGGCGCTCTGTCTCTCCCACTGCGCGTGCGCGAGGATCTCGGATTCGGCGGGCGCCGCCGGGGCTCTCGCGCGCCAGCCGCTGGCTGCGCCCCGCAGCGCCGGAAGCGGCCAGCGTCGCCGACCTGTTGTCCTTGGCGCGCGCGCCCGCGTGGAGAAGACCCTGCAGACGCACTGCCCCGGCGCGCTGGCCCTGGCCAGCGGTGAGATGCAGGCGGCACCGTGCATCTTCGCGCACAGCCTCTATGCGTTCTTCGCGGCACGATGGGCCCCAAATAGATATTGACCTGGGTTTATAATGTTCCGGGATTATTGACCAGGGTTCATAATGCCTCCCCCGGAACATTATGAACCTGGGTTTCAATGTTCCAGACATGTTGACTGGGGTTCATAATGTCCCCCCCGGAACATTACAAACCCTGGTTTATACTGTTCTGGGGCTACCGATCCGAAAAACATATTCACCAGGGTTTATAATGTTCCGGGAATATTGACTGGGGTTCATAATGTCCCGTGAATAATGAACCCGGTGAATTTCATTCCGGAATGACCATCATTTGTTTATTTTCCCCCCAACGCTTGGGTGCCTCACCTGGTTTTTCATGTTGGAATATTGACCCAGGTTCATTATCTCCAGAAGATAATAAACCCGGGTTTATAATGTTCCCGCAATATTGACCCCGGGTTCATTATTCTGCAATGATAATGATTGAGCCGGGGGGGTGGGGGGGTGGAGAGTGCTCTCCGGATTGAAATAAACACTGGCCCATCATGTTGGAATATTCATCGGAGGTGTATTCTTCCGGAAAGATAATGATTCGGCCGGGGGGGGGGGGTCAGAGCGATCCATCCACAGGACAATAATCCATATGGCATCATCTAAAGATAATGAACCTCGGTTTATCATTCCTTGATAATGAACCACGGTCGACGAGGATTTCGCACCGACCCTCCTTCGCGGGGTCCAACGAGCTGCGCCCGCGCGCCTCCGTGGGAGAGGTCGCGTGGAAGCCGGCGTTGGCTCGTGTCGGCGTTGCGCGCCTCGGCGGCACCTGATTCCCGCCCGATAGGCCTCGGGGAAGTAATTGGCACAGCCCAGACAATTGCATGGCGCATTCCGCTCAGAGCCGCCCCCAGGATGCATTATCTCCCAGGGCTTCTTTTCAAAAAGAGCAAAGCTTCAAATTTGCTCTTCTTCATCGCAGCCCTAGAACATATCAGGCGAAAACATATTCTAGCAGTCTGGCCCAAGCGCGCCCCGCCCGACCGCGCCGCGCCCCTGCTGCGACGCCGCCCATAGCCGCGAACGCCGCGTTTGCGCCGACGCAGCAGACTCCCAAGCTAGCGCAGGCTCTCCTCGCCCTACAGGGCCAGCTTGTACACTACCCGCGCATTGCTGGAGATGATCGACGCGAAAGGCAGCCGTGCCAACGGCGCCCGTGCCGCGGTAGCGGGCGCCTCCAGTTCACGCCAGAGCCGAGCGGGCCGCCACGCCCTCACCTGCTTCCAGAAAGACGCCGTCGCCCAGATGATCTTGCCGCATGCGCCGTGCGGCGTATCCGTGGGTGTGCAGAGCATTTTGGGCCCGACCGCCAGCAGCGCTCCCTGCGGCGGGGCGAGCTGGGCATGGGTGCTCGGGGCCTACGGCGACTCCGCTGCCGCGGGCCAGTAAGCCACGAAGCACGTCTGCGATGTGCTGCACTCCATCATGCATCAGGTGCAGTTCGAGGTCAACGTGGCCGCCCCGGCCAAACGATCGCCACGGGGCGTTTCAGGTCGACCCCCGCATCGTCGCCAACCGCTGAACCAGGAGCCGTGCACCATCAAGGAGCTGGCGAACGTGCACATTGTGATCGCCAGTAACCTCCCCGCGGGCTCGCTGAAGGGCCTCCGCGAGCTCGCCACGAAGTGCCCGACCATCGTCGCGACCAGCGAGTGCAAGCCCGGCACCGCTATTCGCGACACGCTCCACTCAAAGCCGCCCGCAGCTGCCAGGCCGCGGCCCAGAAGACCATCGACAAGAAGCTGGCCGCGGCCCGCAAAAGGCCCTTTGCGAAGCCGTGAGAGCTCCCCGTCCGCCGCGGGCGTCTCTGCCGTTGCCTCGCGCGCCTTTTGCGCCGCGCGTCCGTGCTGTTGTGCGCGCGTCTCGGCAGGGACTGGAATCATTTCCGACTGCCTCGCAGGGCTCCTCAGCCTTCCACCACCGCAGCGCTTGCTTCCAGCGCGCCGCAGTTCAAAAACACCGCTGCGCGGCGAACACTCCAGGTCGGGAGTTGAAAAGAAGCAAGAACGTGCCGCAAGAACGCCTTCATCTGTTTCTTCCAAGTTTTTTATCTTTCGTATTATAAGGGAACAGAGCTCCCGGATGGGGGTCATATGGCTAGAACGGCCCAGCAGCGGCACCCAGACGGTCCAGGAGGCCCCCCGAGGGTGTCCGGATGGCCGCACAATGCTCCTAAGGCAACCCCAGAGAGGCCCAACGGGGCCCCAAGACGGCTCAAGAGAGCTCCACGAGCGCTCAAGACGGCCTCATTTGACTCCACGACGTTCCAAGAGAACCCCCAGACGCTCTAAGATGGCTCCAGTACGGGCCCAAGAGGTCTGCAAGACGCCCCCCAAGAGGGCCCATGTATTTCTCGAAGTCTTGCAAGATTTGGGAGTTCTCGTTTTTTTTCCAGTTCGCGACGCTCTAAGACGGTCCAAGATGCCCCCAATATCGCCCCCAGACGGCCCAAGAGGCCCCCGAGATTGCCCCAAGACGGCCCTAGATGCTCCCAAGAATACGTGGGGCGGCAGTACCGCGCCATAGGCTGCGCGTCCGTCCATGCCCCGCGGGCCGCAGACGCAAACCGACTGCTCCAATAAATGTGAACCCTAGGCAAAGGAACACGATTGAAAGGCGAAGCGCAGCGAGCCTTAACATATTACCCTTAGTAATAGTATTCGTATTACGTTTGTCGGTCTTGTTGTTCTTCTTCTTATTATTTCTATGAACAGTATGATCATCATCATTATTAAAGTTATGTGTACGATTCGTCGTATTATTATCAATCTCACTTATAGTATTAATATTAGCACTTGTACTATCGGCCTCTCGCTCATCGAATGGGTTCGGTCGTTACTGCTGCTGCTAATGCAAAAAGGAGGAGGAGGAGGAGGAGGAGGAGGAGGACGACGACGAGGAACGCAGTCAAGCTGCTGCAATTAGGGACGCTGAGCAAGGAATGACAGGTTTTTTGGCATGAAAGGAACCTTCGTACACGAGGGGGGCCAGAGGAACAAGTACGGAATGACCTCAGGAACAGCGGGCCCTTTCTAAAAGCGGTCCCTATTGCAGCGTCTTGTGTGTAGGAAGGGAGGAGGAAGACGTGAGGAGGAGGATCGAGGATTTCTGGGCGTATCGTGTCTTCAGGCTTCAGAGGCTTCCAAGTGTATCCTGGCGACTCGAACAAAATCGCTCTGGAGGTTTTTTCGACGCACTCGGCATCCAAAGGCTGTTGCGGGGCCCTGGGCCGAACAGAAAGCCCTGCCAGGATTAACATTCGGTCCCGGGGTAGGGGTCAAGAGGGTTTCGTGGGGCCCCAGTGCGAATCATCCGAGCCGTCGGAGTTCTGCTTCTATATGGAGGACGCAATACCAGTGCGAGGTGCCACTGCGCCCTTGCATCTTCGGCCCAACTCGGCCGTAGATCCTTGAGCTGCTGGCCCCATGCCGCTGCAATTGTTTCATCGTTGACGCCAGGGGTGTCCTGCACCCTTGCCTGGGGCGCTTGCCGAACCAGTGGTCGATTTTCTCCACGTTGGGGATGCCACCGCCCTGTCCAGATTCCGGGCTCCAGAGGAGCTTCACATCCCCCGTGTTCCCCGCGCTCGCCCCTCCGAGCGACGCGCACGTCGAGAGGCCGCTGCGGGCCGGTCGGGCGCTCGCGTGTGTTATCGCCCAGCCTGATGGTAAATCTCACGTTCAGTACAGTCGAACACTCCAAACGATATAGTTGTGATCGTTGTGTTTGAACATAGTGGCACGAGTGAGCTACGATGATTGTCAGCCCTTCGATGCAGCCCACTGGGTCTAGTGATGCTGTTAGCCCCCGCTGAGACCCTCCTTGTCCGTACGCTGCAGCATTCGATGGAGAACATGAATCGAGGACAGGACGGGAAATCATTGAGGGCACCGCCTCGTCGGGTCACGGTCGGCCTGATCGGGCTTCCCCGATCCGACCATAGGGAAGCGTCTTCCACCCTGCTGGGGATCCCAGAGGCCACACGCTTCCGCACGTAAGTCTGGAGGTAGGAAAGGGGTGTGGTGTAAAGGGGTGTGGTGCCGAAGCTGGATCTGGCGAGGTTTTTTTATCGTAGATAGCCATTTCCACGATTGGCACCACACCCCTTCATGCCACACCCCTTTCCAACCTCCAGAATGAGCGGCGGACGAGTAGGAAGAGGAGGAAACGTACCAACAGTACCTCAGCCGCCTGTGCCTCCGCAGATGGGCCGTCCTGCCGCCCACTGCGCCCCCCCGCCCCCAGGTTGCTGAGCTTGGAGCTGCACCTCACCAAGCGGCCCTTCAGGTCCCGCTGCCTCGCTCCTCCCTTCTCGCTTGGCCCTTCGCCTCGCATCCCTTCCATCCTCGCTTCTGCTTCCTCGTTCCTACCCTTCCACTCTCCCGCTCCCCGTGTCTGCCTCAGTGAACTGCGAGTTCACAGTAGACTTCGGTGGTGTGCTCGTGGAGTGTTTGCTGTGGAAGAAGATATCACGGTCTCTCTCTCTCTCTCTGTCTCTCTGTCTCTGTCTCTGCCTGTCCCTGTCTCTCATGTTTTCTCTCTCTCTCTCTCTCTTTCTATGCCTGTCTCTGTCTATGTCTTTGTTTGCTGTTCTCTCTCTCCCTTCTATATAATTGTGTATATATATATATATGTATAGATATGTCTCTCTCTCTCTCTCTTTCTCTCTTTCTCTCCTTCCAGGTGTAACAAGCATTTCTGTCCCTCTGCCGTTTCTTCGCCTGCGTGCTCATCGCGTGAAGGAAGGGGTGCTGGGGTGGGGCGAGACCTTCTTGTTTGATTAGTTCGCATATACAAGCACGCGTTTGCGCCAAACGTTTTGATGAATTGGCTTGCGCCGTGCCGCCTACCCCGTGGGAGCCCTGGATGACGCCTCTGTTCTGGGGGGCGTTGTCGAAGAAGCGTCTTGGCGCCGTGAGCACATCGGGGAATCCCAACACTGTGCTTGAAAGGATGCATGCTGGGTTGGTTTGGAGCCTCTTGGGAGCCTTTTGAGGGCCTCTTGAGGGTCTCTTGGTTTCCTCTCGAGGCTCTCTTTGGGCCCTGTTGGGGCTCTTGGGGGCCATCTTGTGGGGAAGGGCTCCTGGAGCCTCTTCGAGTTTGCCCTCTCGGGCTCATCCTGGGGTACTCATGGGTTTTTCTTGGGCAGGGTTGGGGGCCGTTCGGGCTATCTTGAGACCCTCTTCGGCAGTTTCTGGGCCTTCGTGGGGGCCTTTGAGCCCTCTTTGGGCGACCTTCGATTTCTCTTGGGTTGTCTTAGAAATCCCGAAGATCGGAAAAAGGCGAGTACGTAAAACATGTCTTGTTAACGATAGTCATCCTGGAGGCCAAGAAGGCAGTGCGTGCGGCGCACAGCAGATTGCGGCTGTCTGGAGTTGGTTGGCGAACAGATTTTCTCGAATGCCATGCTCTCACTGGCTCCGTGGCCCAGTGGATAAGGCATCGGTCTACGGAGCCGTGGATTGCAGGTTCGAGTCCAGCCAGGGTCATTATCCAGTTGCGCTGCCGCGCGATTCCGCCACCGCGCTAGGGCGGGCGGGGAGGGGAGGGGGGCAGGGAGGGAGGGCTCGTGGACTGCCATGGACCCCCCCTTCCCCGCCCTTGGTATTTGGGACCGTTTTCTGTTAGGAAGGACAACAAGCAGGGACTCGGCGGCAGCAGTCAACGCATCTTGTGCTCGAAGCATCGGGGGGGGGTGTCTCATGATTGTTTCGCAAGAAGCGGAGGGGCCCGACGCACACCAAGTGCTGCGAGCGCAGTGGTGGATTTTGAGATCGCCATCCGACCTGGGAAGAGGGAGCATCGCGGCCGGTGCCCACACGCGCTCTCGGGCACCCGCGCGCGCTCGGGCGGCAGGTCGGCCCACGCGGCGCACTGCCCGACTGGATTGCCCCGAGCTCGCACCGCCCAGTGGGCGGGGCGCATGGCAGTCCCTTGGGGATGAGGTAGCCCAGCACCGGCTCCGGCCAGCAGGAAGGGGGGCAGGTTCGAGGGCCTGGGTTCGACGAGGTTTTTGAGCTTTTTTCAGCGTCTGGGGGCGGTTGTTCGGGCCCCAGGACTGTCAGGAACGGGTCCGGGGCGAAAAACTTCCCCAGATGGACCCGGGGAGGCCCGCCCGGGAGGCCAAATCCGTTCAAAATCGGTTCCCCGAATCCTGGTGTCCGGGGGCCGATTTTTTACGCATCTGGCTTCGTTTCAAGCGATCGCAAGCATGGATCAAGGGGGCGTGGATTAGCGACGGGTCCCGTTTCCATGGGAAATCGCGGATTTCCGCCGCCGAGCGAGGCGGCATTGGCCGCATGTTGGGGAGGGCACCTCCCCCGATCCATGGATCTAGCGACCGCGCGCCAGATCCATGGATCGCTAATCCATGTTTGCGCGCCCCCGATCGTTCCCCCTCTTGGTCGCTTCTCTGGGGTCCGCGCCAGTGCAGAACCCCTGGCCGCCTCCAACCTGAGGTGAGCCAGGAGGCGTCCGCTGCTGGTTTCCAGAAAATGCCCCTCGTCGGCGAATGGCGCCGCGAGGGGGCGTGGCGCAACGGCAGCGCGTCTGGCGGGTGGCCTCTCGGCGCCCTCTCGGAGGTCCTCCTGGGCCTCTTGCGCCACATTCGGATCCCTTGGGCTGTGTGGAAGCCATCCGGGGCCCTCTTGGACCTCATGATCTTGGGCCGTCCTGGAGCATTTTGTGAACCGTCATGATGCTTTCTTGGGCGATTTTTGCACGCCCTGGAGCTTTTCAGGGCCAGATGAGTTCACCGGGGTCGTTGGTTGGGGACCCCCCTTACAAAACAGCCAGACTGAGCTCCTGGGGGGGGAGGGGCTCGGGAAGGTGCAGCCATCTCACACGCAGAGGAAATTCCAATGGTCGGCGCATTCTCTTTTCATGCTCTGGCCTGGCCAGTGTCCTCATCGCTTTCCCCCCGTCCTCTCCACGGCCTTCCCTCCCTTTCTCTTTGCTTCCTGCGTGGTAGAAATATATTTTGTCCGGTCACGCGCCACCCTACGCTTGTGGCAAAAAGCTGCGAAGGGCTCTACATGCGCGGGCAATGCCATTCCAGCGTGTCGGAGTGGTGCGATTTCTTCTCTTCGCTGGCACCGTTCGCACTCTTGACCTTTTCGTTTGCTGTTGTTATCCCTTTCCTTTTCACTTTCGTCCTCCTTCTCCAGCTCTTCTTTCTCCCTCCCCGGCTGCTCCTTCCTAGCCACCGCATTGTCTGTGTGATTGCAGCGAGCTCGCTTCAACGAAATACTTACGCAGCGGATTGGTATTATAGCTCGAATTGGGCAAACAGCTGTCGCCCGGAGTCTGAAGGGCGCTCTACCCTCGGGTCGAGCTTGAGGGAATCTCCGTTGCTGCGCATTCACAGTGGAATACCTTTTGGACACCATCGGAACACCAACGAAGCACCAGATGGGCCGCCCACTGCAGCAGGTTCTTTTCCGCCATCCGCCCCAACGACCATGGCACTCGCGCAAAACTCCGCGCACACTTCACGCACGACGCGAACATGAAATACTACTTTCTTGCGAGGGTGGCGTCGCAAAGGGCTTCGCGCCCCAAACCTTGAATATGAGATAAGAGTGAGTTGCGATCGGCTGCAGCCGCCGTACCACTGAGCGCTGCGAGTAACTATACGCTCGGATCCAGTGCGGGAAGATTCTCGGCATTCGCTTCGCGCATCGTCGTCGTGGTGCCTGGCCAGTAGACGAACTCATCTTCTGAGCTCTGCGCGTTCCTCCTCTTCATCCGTCCTCACCATTCCTCACCTCATCGTCCTTCTTCTGCCCTCGTCTTCAGCATTGAGCCAGAACTTGTTACGGTCCTCATCCTCCCCCCCACCGCCGTTTGCGAAACAAACGCCCGCCTAGAGAAATGTCTACAGGGCCCCCCCAGCAGCCCGTATCTCAAAGCTGGCGGGCGACCGCGCCGGAGGGGAGCGCAAAGGGTTGCGAGATAAACGCCCACTCTCGCAAGGAGCCAATCGTTTCCCGTCAAACTCGAAATGCGGGGGCAAGGGGGGCGCTTTTCGACGTCTTGTTACCCTTACCCGGCACGGGCGCTTGTTTCGCAAACAGCGGTGTCCTCCTCCTTTTCCTCTTCCTCCCCCACTGCTAGCTCTCCTCTGCAGAGCCCTTGAGGTCGTCTGAGCCCCCGACCCCCCCTCCGAGGTAC